TGTTCGTGGGGGGCTTTTGCACCACATTCGGTACATTCCTGACAAGCATATTTGCTTTGTAACATTTATCGACCCTACTGCTGCCGCTAGCTTTTACGCCTTGTCGAATCTGCAGGGGTTAATGATTCATAATCGCCGCCTCAAGATTGGTTGGGGTAAACATTCAGGTGCTCTTCCTCCTGCAATTGCTCTTGCTGTTTCCGGGGGTGCAAGCAGAAATGTCTATGTCGGGAATCTTGATGAGTCGTGGAGCGAAGAGAGGCTCCGCCAAGATTTCCAGGAGTACGGTGACATTGAGCTTGTCAACGCACTTCGGGAGAAGAGCTGCGCATTTGTCAACTTCACAAATATTGCAAATGCAATTAAAGCGATTGAGGCAATGAGAAGCCGTGACGAATACAAGCGATTCAAGATCAACTTTGGGAAGGATCGATGCGGAAACCCTCCAAGGCAAAGCACTGGTAACCAGGCAGGCACACCAACATCTGCAACCCACCCCCCAATGCCCAGCTCCAGCCCAGTCAATGGTGGCCTTCAGCCTGGATCACAGTCGGGGTCTGGTGGAAGCCCTGCCCAGCTCAGCCCGTCCGGTATGCCGAGCTCAAACAGCCCCAACATGCTCGGAACACCGACAACCCCGAATAGCATGCAGCAGCTCATGAACAACGTCGCTGCCAACCCTCTTCAGGCGTACTTGGTTCAGCAGCAGCAACAGCAGAACGATGCCATGTATGCATCGTCGCTGCAACAACAGATCGCCGCCGCCCAGGCCGCCGCGGCGTATGGTCAGCAAAACCAGATGGATCCTTCTGGACAAGTGCCTACACAGGCCGTCGACAACATGGGCCAGAATGGTCAAAACATCAATGGACTTGGGCTCGCGGGCCTTGGAATGCAGAATCAGAATCTGCGGATTGGCGGGCAGCACAACCGTGCCTTGAGTATGCCTGTCTTGAGCCCTCAACAGGGACAAAACGGAATTGGAATGAATGGGTATAATAATGGGATGAACAACGGTATGGGTGGTTGGGCTGAACAGGATGAGGGCATGCATTAGATGACTTTTTATTCTCGGTCAAAATAGGGTGGTGGGAGGGATGTAATTGATGAGCCGGGGTTTATTTACTTTGACATAGGGGAGTAAGATTTTGGGACGTAGAAAGGACTTTGGATTATTGAATAAGCAAGAGATGAGAGAAGACCCTATAGCATTTTTAATGGGCATTTCGGTATGATAGTTTCATTTTCATTTTTGCTTCTGCCCGGCCTCTTAATTTGTCTGTTTGGTTTTGATACCTCATGTTTCAAATCATTCGCAACCATTACTACCACCGTTTAGTGTGATGATTGAACTGTAACTTTGCCTCATTCTTATTTCTTATTTTTTTCTCCTTCATTATTTCTTTGTATTTCAAGTTTTCTTTTGACATTTGGATTTATAAAGCGTTTTTACCAAACGTTGATCTTACACTATATCTTTTTTTCTCTTTTTTTCTCTTTTTTTCTCTTTTTTTCTCATTTTTTTCTTTCTTTTTAACCTTATTCTTCTTTCATTCTTTACTACTTCGTTTTCGATTCACTAGGGATGGAAGATCAAAATACCTTTTTTTGGCAGACTAGTTTTTTGTGTTCGTGTCTATATTTGTGCATTTCCGTGGGGAGCTTTAATTTGCTACCAGCATTTTTTTTCTGGGTCGGTTCATGAATAATTTAGTGGATTGATTCGTATATCTTATCCTGAGTTTTAATTTTTTTTTTTTCCCACCTCGTTCGAATAGGAACTGAACCGGTTACCTACGTGGCATTCAAGTGTAAGTTGGCTCTCTATTCGATGGGATTTTTATCATCGAGTGATAGCGTATGATTGCACGGCGGATAAACCGACCAAGCGAGCCAGCCGGGCCGGGGGTGTCCCAACGAACAACCAACGTTACCTGAGTGTAATCATTGCAATTCTTGATAAGTGATAAGGTCCGTGGGGCGCCGGATAGATAACCATGTAGTCCGTTCCTTTGTATTGATTGTGGCTTTCCCTTTCCACGGGACAGCAGACAAGTATACATACGAGGTAAGCCAAAGATCTCCATCCCATCCCATCCCATCCCATCCTTCGACGTGCATATCCCTTGGCGCTCAGCTGACCCACGATTACCTACTCCACTCTACTTTCGTTTCATTACGGTAAAAGCGCCGTCGCCGCCGCGGGTGTTCGGATCCTTTCCAGAATTAAGAGAGAAAAAAGAAAAGAAAAAGAAAAAGAAAAGACCGGCCCACACCCGGTACCGGGAAACTGGGTTGTTGTACTACGGTCAGGGGATTGTGGTTGGGCAACGTTGGATCATGCGGTAGCACTCGGTCCTTTATTTTTTATTTTTTACTCGGTCCGGGAGTTGTGAAAGGTCTGATATATGGACACCATTGAATTGTGGCGAGATTTAAAGTTTGGTTGATTTGTAAGTTCCGTATACCCCGGTTTGACTCAGAATAGGGTTAGGGTTTCTTTGTGATGTTCTAGGAATCCTTCTTGAGATTCTTTCATCCCTTTATATCTACTCGGTATTGTCCTCTTTCAGTAAGTAGGGAAAAGGCAGGTTTTCTGTACGCCCGAGGACCCCCAGTTATTGCATGTAGCTGAGGGGGACATATGTTTTGTGGAGGGCCCCGGGGGGGGGGGGGGGGCGAGTAATACGGATGACACGGCACAGCTCGATCATTTGAAGAGCAGAGGCTGATCTTACTCAGGAGGAGAGAGAGCACAGATACGAGCTGCAGTAGGTACCATGTAAGACAATTGATTTGGGTACCGATATTCACCTCCGATATTTTCATTCGGAGAAAAGAACTTTCTTGTAGTATGTACATGTAGTATTGTACCCATCCACAATAGGGAAAATAAGCTCTCAAAGTTGAAAATGTAGTACCTATCCTAGCTTTCCCAGATCCGTTATGTGCCGCTGTCGTACCGTATATGTATGTTACACCGGCCATGAATCATCCTAGTTGATAACTATGTCGGTGGCGAAATACCTTCTCGGTGTGGCTAGCTGGTAGCGATTGTGATTTCACCGTTGAAATATTGACCGTTGGCCTTTTGCCGTCATGGAAGTTTGCCCGGTATATACACCCCATTATGCAATGCGCTCATAGCCGTGTTGGGTTCTGGCTCTGTTGACTTATCAGTTAGCCAGTTATGCTTCTTTGTGGGGTGGTAGTACCTCCTAGAGTGCTCTATCTATCTCACGGATACCATTGTTAGAAGTTTCGATTGAAAATCTTTATGGTTCATGGGAAGAGTGCATGCCTGAGATACGGCCATGCAGCCAGCAGCGGAGGACTCTGGGTGGAACCAGAGTGTCAAAGAGTATGTGGTAATCTGACCGCGTTCGAGGGGCTTCTGCAGTAGATCCATCTATGAATCAATGTGAATCTTAGATGTATTGGGGGAGGGCGGTGAGGCGGCTATTTTGTAGGGATGCCTCCTTAATTTACGCATGAATATAAAGAATCAACCGTGCATCGATGAAGCAAACGAAAGTTGAGAGAAAATGTCCAAGTAGTTAGGCCATATCCCCGTACCTAGAATTCAGGCCGCACGCGGCCTAAGTTCTGCCTCGCCGCGCCGGTGGAGTTTTCTTGGTTGTAGACAGGACTTGCCAGAAAGACCCAGATGAGATTTTGGATGGCTTAAATTGCCCTGATCTGTCCATGAAGTAACTTCTAGACATAGAAGAGCTCATTTTATACCAAGACAACCATTGTCTTGATGCCCTTTTGATGCCCCTTTGATCCTCTGATATATAATGTTAGTATCAGAGGCCGGGTCTAGCCCTTTCATTAACCGTGAAGTCTGCTTCGTGTTCCCACCACACTATGGCTGTAATACGATACCGCGTCAAACTCGTCTCAAACCGTTGAACTTCCCCCATTTAGTGATCTGTCTTGAATCGTGGCTGTGGCAGACCGTATGGATGTAACTTCATTAATAGGCGCTCTCTCCTCGAGCTCACATCATGACATAAAGCCCACTCTAGCCAGGCCTCTTCACTACCACCCCACTCGCCGGCGAATCGGCGCCCTGTTCGATCATGAGTGGTAACCATCTGGTCGGCTGAACATTTATACCGGCCCGAAGTAAACAAGCACTCGCGTCAGATTAGTGGCGAACATATCACTGGGAGCGACCGACGCCGTCCCAACCCACTCAATCGGACGAAACTTTAACAACGGTTGGCTATCTATCCTGCTTCTGACGCGGGATAATGATACGGACTCGATTGAAGCTCTCTTTCGTTATTACTGTATAGACTTATTCTTGACTGTGCACGGAAATCCTACACTGTGGTGCCTCATAACCCGGGCTTCGCTAGGTGGGCCAGAATTTAAGGTTGCCGATCTCCCGCCTCGCTTATGCAGGAGCCAGCCGCAGCAGAGCCGCAACACCACAACCACGATTTTGGAAGCTCGCTGTAGCTATGCACCGGGTACACAGACATTCGGGTAGTTTATAGTGCCCAAGAATTGTCGCGTACCTAAGCCAGGCGCAGAGGGAATCACGCCTCGCGCAAGCTGTATCGGCCTCGTGGGCAGTGGCTCCCACTGGCCATGTAATATGTGCGTTGTGAGAGTTTCTTCTTTCTTTTGGCTATTTGCGGAATCCATATCTTCACAGGTTTGGAAATGATAAGACTTTAAAACCGATCCAGAGCAGAATCTTACTCAATAAAGTTCGGGGTATATAAGGCTTTATTTTTGACCGAAAAGCTCCCGAGTGATTGTCTATGAAGTGAACTAAAAAAAAGCACCAAAGACCGAACCAACAACCCCCCAACCCTCCCACTCCAAACCCCAAATTCCCAACCGAAATACGATGACCGATATTAATGAGATGCAGTTGTATCGAAATCACCACAATAGCCACGGATAGTTGTACCTAACACCACCATCAGCTCAGTACCATATTGCATGATCAATATCTCAAACACAACAACATATACACACCGTTACATCAGCCGCTGCTGAAACGCTCTCTCGGCTTCGATAAGCCTCTCTAATCTGATATTCAGCTGCTCATAGTCGCAATCCATCCCGACCAGGAGCAATTGAGCCCTTTCCTTATCTTGCAGGATCGCATATAGCTCTGATGAAGGCTTTGCCCCCCCGAGGGCATTGTTGTCGATGTCAAAGCCCAACTCGACGAGATGCGAGTTCATCTTTAAAATGAGGGATCTGATTTTCGACCGGTCGTCCTTGAGGCGGGTGACATAGGCGACGAGAGTAAAGATTATTTCCTTCAACTCGTTATGAAGGAGGGTGGACTCTGGGAAAATTTGGGAAGTCATGGTTGGATGATCGGACGATTGGATATGATGAAGTGTTTGATGTGGATGGAGAAAGCGGTGATGGAGAAAGCGGTGATGGAGTTTGAGGTGATGGAGTTTGAGGTGATGGAGGAAGCGGTGATGGAGTTTGAGGAAGGAGCATCTGTATAGGGTTTATATACCTGTGGGTATAAAAAGACTCGGCGGCGACCATTTTTTGTTTACCGGGTTGGTTAAAATGTAGTATCCAGACCAGTTTTTACATTCACAAGACGTACTACGACCTAAAGCTTCTGCTGGAGTCTTATTATCATAATAACTTAAACAGTTGAGATAATTCATGAGTTCACCTTATAGTTTTTTGACCATGATATTTGCAGCTCCGTATTCATGGTGATGAGAATTCCAAGTTTTAGGCCTTGGTAAATAAATAAACTTGCGAAAATCTCAGGACAAAAAGCAGGACCAAGAATAAAATTGTAGATGTTGCTGTTAATTCAAATAATTATTCAGAAATCTTGTTTGATAGTTTAAATCCTGTTTCAATGTCCATAAGAGGATTGAAGCGGGACGTACTTGATATAAATAAATAATGCAATCTAGGAAATATGTTAGTTGACTAAGAGCGGATTATGCAGTTTAGGTAAACAACTGTGGAGATACTCAGGTTATTTAACTTGATGAAATCGTGTTGGGAGGTGAATTGTGGAGGATGAGTTCGTATAAGAGATTTTGGGATTAGGGAAACAGGAAGGTCGATGCTAACATGTTTATCAAACGGCCACAAGACGCATCGGCCATACACATGCTTTTATCGAGCGGCCAGATTATTGATTATCGTTTGGTACTGGCCTATTATGAGTAGTGTACATGTAGTTAACAGTGACTACTGGTACTTTGAATGGCTACATGTATAGCTGAACGTTCCTCCATCGAGTACGTACAATAGCTCGACTTTGCTCATGCTTATAAATAATAGCTAGCTATGAATCTACCAAAAAGTAAGGCGGGAGAAGAGAAAATATTGCGGAGACTTCGTTGCTTGATTTAGAAGTATAGATTATAGATCGTATAGAATCTTTGTTATCGAGGACCATCGATAGTACTCCTTTCTAATACTAATGACGTACACAGCGCAGCAGGGTTTTCTATGCCACGCGTTAATGTTGAATAGAATGGGAATCGCCTGTGCTCGAGATACAACGTTGCGTTTCTACTCATACGCACATGTAGTCACCAGACTGTTCTCGTTCCACTGGTCCCTGGACTCACAGAATATAAGCATACATGTAGGCATAGGGATTTCATTGACTATAAATGCCAAATTCCAAACAAATCTCGATACTGCCATAGTATTTGCGTTTCTTTGTGCAATATGTTTCTTAAGCATCTTAACCCTAATTTATTGATTGCGAGGAGCTTTATCTATTTCATGGCTCGTTTGAGTGAACATTTGAAAATTGGTGAGCAATAAATAAGATTGCCGTTTCAAGTTTCTACAATTGATACTATCTTATCAGTTATACACACTACTTCAATTCCAACGTTTGCATCATACTCACATACTATTCATACATAAAGTCCAGCCTTTGAACCCGAATTATACGTCCTGATCAGTTGATCTTCTATCCAACAACAAGACCCCGGGCCATCGTCATCACTGCGATAAAACAGAAAGCGATGTCAGACCGCGGGGAGACCGTTACTATTATTGGCCCTGGCACTCTTCTGCCTCTCCATCTACCAACTCCTAGACTTTTTCGCTCCGAGAACTTCGAAGAGATTATGGAAGATTCTCGGAAACGCAACGAAAGAAATGAACACGTCCATCCACCAATCAACTTTCGATTTGATAGAAGTTATCAGCGCGAAGCAGCTGTCTCTCCAAGGGTAGAAAAATGCCACAATAACCCCCAAGTTTATGATAAAATAACCCCATGCACTATTGACGCCCCTAAGACGGTTCATCCTTTATCCAAACGTCCTCGAGGCCAGTCGAGTGCTCCGACAAAAGTTACATTAATCAAAAGCCCAAACAACGACGAGGAGGTAGTAGCGGTTGGTTCAGAACCACTTATGTACGAGAACGTACTTCTGGGTAAACAACTTCCGTTTCTTCCCAATGCCCCCGACACCCAAATTCAACGCAGAGGATCAATATGGGAGAAGATAAAGCAGTTTGTAAGGAAAGTGGCTGGTATTGGAAGATTTGGGAGCACGGCTACTGTCCTAGGGTCTGGCCCGACCGTAAGTTGAAGTCTTCCTGGTGCGTTCTTCAGCAGCTAGTAGCTGATATATCTGTTTTCTAGAGAGGGTGAATCGCTGCTCTGTTGGGTGTGTCTGTGGTATAGATCGTGGTCTAGGCTATGAAATTGTCCCTTTATGCTGAAGTTAAACAAATTATCCAAAGAATTGATATGCGAGTGATATCTTGTGTTCTTAACAATAAAGCGTGATCTCTACCTAAACCTTTGAAACATTTAAAACACTGAATATTGAAGTAACTAATTACCACTTGTAGAGAATGCACGCGTAAGGCTAACATTTAACTTAAGAGCTGAGTTGGTGATATTAGGAAGACCTGCCCCTGGCCCACGTCATGTCGTCTTTTCGGGGTCGGTTAACATCGATGTCATTGTTTCCCTTAAATCCCCTGGTAATTTTTTGTTAGTTATTTAATATTATCATTTGCCCAAAAACAACTACGGTCACAAGCCAGCACGTGTGACAGTTATTACGTGATTTTGAATTCCATGCACACCCCATCAGTACGTAGCGAAGATCCGTACAACCTGTGGTTTGAATGTTAGAATACAGTTAGAAACATGTTTATCCCAATGTCTGGTTATTTTGATTTCACTGCGTGATGGACCACTGATCTAGATAGAAGCCATACAGATAACCAACAGACTGTATAGTCAACCAGGTTAAAGGAGTGGCAATTAGCCATGTCATCGGTGATGATTTTCACAAGCGCCATATATGAAAGCCGAGTGCTTACTGGACGAGATTGATTCTCTGTCAGCAATCGAGTCACGGGTAGAAAGATCAAGGTACACGACGGTGGTATTTTGTAGGTAGAGAGAGGATAGGCCTAGTTTTTAAGGAAGAAGAATCTTAAATCCCGGGTGAGGTGGTCCCGGAAGCTAGGGTTCGCTTATTGTTACAGGCGGCGTGTATTAAGGTTGATGTTACGCTGCAATTTAGGGGCTTTCAGGGGCTTTATTCTGATCCAATCCAATTTGCCCAGCCCATCGTATGAGTAACAGGACTGAGGCTTAGATGTGGGTCCCAAACTACATACCTGCTGATCGGGAACACAAACATGTGCTGATTATCATTGTGACAGCTCATTCACGAGTGATGTGTCATGAGTAAATTAAAACGCTGTCATAGTTGGTATATTCTGTCTGAGTGTGTATTAGAATGACTGCTGCCGTAAGAGAGATTGGCTCGACCAGTTGACACCGTATGATATGATATGATATATCAATTGTCTCTGCAGGCCTTCATGTATAGCATCCGCGTACTTTTTTTGTTTAATTCATTAATTGCGTGCAATAGCATCCGCGTACTCATTTATATAGAGAGAAAACAAAATATATTTCAGTCTCTGCCATTCATGGGATTCGAAAATCCCTCATTTTCTAGTCGGTTGTCATCAGAGACCTAGAGGTTCCCAGGACGGGTAAAAGAAAAACACGGACCCGGATACGCCAGGAACCGCGCCAGAAACTCGTATTGATTATTTTCTTGGCAAACACAAGCATGAATCCTTGAGAATTACCATGCATCATTCTTATCCCCGATGTAGGTACATACATAGGAGGCTGAGCCGACTGGTAAATAAGGCATCCGGGACCATGTGAGTTTGACTTCAAGTACTCACAAGGCTGGATTATGGAGAAGATTGGTTTAACAGCCTTACAGTCCAAAGATGCATGGTGCATTTATGAGCGCTAAGTCATACATCGACCCGCCAGTCCTTTTCATAAATATTTCTTGGCAAGATTTCTGACCCTGCCGGAGGATTTTGAAATTTGGGCACGCGCACATGATGGGTTAACTTGTTCGCCAACTTTATACAAGCGTATGGTACTGGTAAAAAAAAAAAAAAAAGCTGAATAGTAGGTACGTGGATGTAAACTAGAGTACATATCTTGATCTTCAATAGTTCCTACATGTATTTAGCATTATGAAATCATAAAATCTCACTCGTATGTGACAACACCCCAACAGGCCTTTGGCCACCGCGCATAATGAAAAAATAAAAACTGAGCCCATTCGCTCAGGAATACAAATTATCGTTTCTGATAAATTCTCCCTCTTCCCCCTTATCCCCAACAGCCGTGACAGACCTCGAATAACGCAGGAACCCGGCCACCCTAAAATAAATACTGAAAAACAAGACGAAATCCAGCTTAACAGCTGGAATGTATCGCGCCAAGGTCAAAAAAAAGCAAACCAACTCCGTATGGAAGGGATAAACGATAAAATGTAGGTATAACAGAATATTCAGCGGCAATGATGACGTGATCGATTCAGAGCAACCTTGTGGGATATGTACTAGCGGCGGCTGGTCCCACAGTTCGGTTTCGGCTTTTCAATTCGGAGCACCCATAAAAGCAGATCTTCAATTGGTATAAGAACTAGAAATACGCGGTTACACAGTAACGCAACCGCTGCAACTAATCCACCAGCGATAGCGTCGAGCCAGTACTGAATTTTGGAATGTCAGTATTTCGTATGGAGAATCAGGTTTCTTATAGGGTGGGATAAACATACGTGGTTAGCCGTTGCAATGATGGTGACTAGGATCATGGTCGGGTATGCAATTCCCAACGCGCAGTACCAAACCTTCCACCATTTTCCAACCATCTGCACTGATTTTCCCTTCCTTCCACCATAGGAGAGACCGACACATCCGAGGACACCGGAATGATAGATGAGTGTACATCCGATCATAAATGACCAGCCAAAATGCATACTTGGCATTGCTGCAAGATGGTTCACAAATTTACCGCTCATCCATACACTTTGGGCATCGTCACGACGGACAGTGTCAATGAAACCGTACTCCTTGGGAAGCAATCGGGGCGGCATGCAGGGAAATAGAGCGAATACTGTGAAAGCAAGGAAGTTGCAGAGTGTCACTGTGCGGCGGACAGTGGCGAATATGGAGTGGGTGGGGGCAGAGTAGTAGTACCATGCGATAAAGCTATAAGATAATTATTTAGTACATATCTGTTACAAAGAAAACTCATGGACAATCTTACAATACAGAGCCTGGAATGTGAATCAACGCATAGGCTTTGTTTAGAAACGTCAAAAGTCCCTCGTGCCCATTCATGAACCATTTCTGTACAGTGATTTCTTGAATCGGTAATAGAAATCTCAAAGGTGTGAACTGCTCGGCCGCTAATACACTCAGTCCGTTCGCCTGGGCTGTATCCCAAATATCGTCCGAAAACATCTCCTGTGAAAGAATATGCGACGCTCGGTAGATGGCATACGTGAGAATCCAATAGAACATTTCCATGAGGAAAGGAAACTTGTATAACACTCTAGAGTGCCAATTTTCGGCAAATCGTGATGAGTTCGGCGTTAAAATCATTACCCCGCAACAATTACGCTGCTTTGGTAGGTTCTTAGACGTCGAGAAGCCAGTTGATTCGTCTTCGTCATCTGATGACCAAGGTCCTTCACGGGACGGAGAGCTATCGCCGGATGAAGAGGATCGGGAGGACGTAGGTGAGAATTCATAACTTTGGGCGTCAAGGAGGGATTTGTATGAAGCTTTGCTACTGAAGACGCTGTAATATTTCCGTCGAGTGTAGAAACAGGCAAAGAAAAGGATACTAGTCACAATCTAGTTTGAATGGGAAGTGCGATTAGTTTATGTACTCTCTAGACGCAATTGAATTATACTTACCACTGGTTCAGCCCAACCAGGAAGTTTCCAGGCGGGCTCACTATTATATTCTGGTGGGGCCGATGCTAAAGGCGTTACTGCTGCCATCACAGCGGATGCAACATAGCTAGTTGGTGTAGCCATGGTCTATACTTGATGGACGACGTTGCGCTGACACGTGAGCAGCCACTGGTATAGTTGAATGTCTTTTATTACGAAACCCCGAGTGGAGTAAATAAAGAAAGATACGGAATAATTTGTAACGACTGTTGAGGGTTAGAGGCGGGGAAGGGGGGGGAGGCAAGGGGAAGAAGGGATGGAAAGAGGGAATAGGAATGAAAGGAGGGGAGAAGGAGGAGGAGGAGGGGGAGGAAAGAGAAGAGGAAGAAGAGCAGTAGGAGGGGAAGAAGAATAACAGGAGGTGAAGGATATTACTATGTATGTAGAGTATATGAAATGATGCAAGCAGTCTGTGTATCTTTCCCTTCTTAAGAATACAAGTAGGTACAGGAAAGGCGCAGGTGCAGCAGAAATAAGGATTGAGACCCAGCGTGGACTTCCAAGCTCCATACAGACAATAGCGCTGTTTCAACATACGTTCCCTGCCAGTGTGAATTTCTCCGCCGCCACTGCGTCTTCTAGCACTGTGTTAACGTGTTCCGATCTCCACTCCCGCAATCATCTAAGGCATGTACGAGCACTCTACTAAACCTTGCATCCAAGCTAGCCAAGACAATACTAAGGAAAACATTATTAAAGGTCCTCACGTTTGGACTCTATTCAATCCATTCAGTAATAGCAGGGGTTTGACCGGGGTCTTCATTGGCCAACAAGGTTGGGATGGATTGAATTCACTCCAGAAGCCGAATGCTCCCTGGGACTCATTCGCATTCAAGAAAAGGCTTAGGTTGAAGCCGTTGACATGGTTTTTTTGCGACCATCGACAAACTCTGCTATGACTAGACCGAATCTGTAAATTAAATCCACAATTCTCTTTTCGAGGCCCTCATGTCTTGATAAAAAATCTAATTGCTGATTGGTTAAATATGGAATGCTGGAATAGGCGAATGCCACACCAAAATCAAACGTGAGCACCTTTATTGTTCCACCCTAGATCTTAATAACAATCTTTATCTCAAGATGGTAACAGTCGCGTGCCGCGTGTCCTGATTTTTCACAGATGATAATTCAGAAATGCGGGACATGGCCATTTAGAAAGTGCATTCGGTTTGCTACACTATTCCTAGGCTAGCGTGTAGCTTTAGTCTGTTCATTGGCCCAACGTCGAGGAACGGGCGCCGGGATACCAAGCATCCGATATAAACCTGCGACTACCAACTTTGCCTGGCCAGGCACACACAAAATAAGGTGTGTTATCTAACAGGTCGGACAAACATTCCGCAGCTG